CTGTTATACAGCCTACAGTTTCACTCATTCAAGTTCAAGGACTGCTTCGATTCACCCCTTTATTTACACATACATTGACTCTATTCGACTTGCTGAGCAGCCATGACGTATCCCTGGCCGTATTCACTACCACCACATCTACAGCAGCAACCACATCTACAGCAGCATCCGCAACAGCATCCACTTCACGCGACACAGCCAATACAATCCCATGTCCACACACATCCCACACTGCCACCTCAACCTCAACCTCATCAACCACATCAACCACATCCACCGCATACGACAAACCAATCACCACCCACACCATTACTACAACCACCACCTCCAACAACTGCTCCACCACATGCCACCAATCCAGCAGTGACCGCCATACCACAGCCTACCACACCGGCTCCACCACCACCACCACACACTCCAGCAGCCCCGCAGCACATTGCCATTTCCGCTTCAGCTCACCATACTCCACCACAACCACTACCGCAACCACAAGTGCCACAACTCACACCTCAGCCAACTGCACCACCAACTGCACCTCAGCGGGGAGTCACAGACTACGCCTTTCAGGCTTACAGTCACGCCACCACACTTTACGAAGATACACGTTCCCACAGCACCCAGCACCAGCCACAGCACAGCAGTTGATGCAGCTCTATGTGACAAGAGGTCATTCCAAAGAACATTGCGCCGCGGCGCTGCGGCCACAAGGAAAAGGACCATGCGCCGGCAGACTCGCAGTCCTTCACTTTACATTTTACAATTTACAATTTACAAGACCTTTCCGACGTCCTGCCCTACCACTATTCTATTTATTACACAGGTATTTTCTGATCCGGTCTATTTGCGCCGATTCGGCTCATTGTGTGTGTCCACTCCTGTTTCCAAGGACACTACCCTAACTCTTTCTAACCTGCCCTATGACTTTTGTGACCAATGTGCAGCAGCAGGGGGCCACTCCACCCACCACCAGGGAGTGGCCAACGAAGAGCCTGGTGGTGTGGTGCGGAAAACGTACCTGCCATTTTAGAATTGTTTCAATCGTTTCACTTGCATTCTTGTTCAACAATACTGTTACTCGGACCCAGCATTTTTTTCAGTCAAGGTCTAACCTGCAGTAATCTTAAAGGGCTAATGCTCACCGCGAAGCAGCCTGAAATCGCGCTCCACGGAGCAACCTACTCAAGTGTGTGTGCGCATTCATGATTTGCCAACTGGTTGGTGGTGTTTGTTCGTTCAGGATACCCTCCGGCAAATGATCATGGACATGAAACAATCCTGAAGACAATTTGCAACTACTTTCCTCTCAAAAACAGGTGGTTTTGGCAGGGTTTAAGTTTTTGGACATGGTAAAGTTTTTGGACATGGTAAACTTGGAGGGGACTTTTGGGGCCAAAACTAAGAGCTTCCCCTCCGAATCACGGCGGAACCGCGCGATCGCTCGCCATGAGCGATGCCGCTTTTGGTGGAGCAGCAGCTGGCCTTGTGGAATCAATTGTCGTGCAGCCCTTGGACATTATCAAGACGAGGTTTCAACTGAGCAAAGAAGCTCGCCGGGCACGATCGGGCACGTGCTTTCTCAGTTCCTTTATGTCTCTTGTTTTCTTTTTTTTTTTGGGGGGGGGTTAGTCATGTATATATATATATATGACATATGTTTTAAAATGTGTCAGCAACCCTAGCCTTCAAAGATTATCGTTAAAAGGGGTTGACCTGTTACGTAGTCAAAATTATGTTTTGTAATGGCCATTAAAGCAATGGTGGTTGAAATCCTGGAGTAGTATATTGTTTGTTTGGCTGAGACTGACAGGATACCTGTTTGTAACACTTCACACGAGTTACATGCATTTGCTAGTAACAGGAACACCAGATATAGAGTGGTGTTTTTGCAGGGTCATTCATTGAATCACGTAAGGAAGCCAATCCCCGACTGTCGCAGGCGTTTCGCCTCATTCTGGCAGAAGGAGGAGTGTTGCGCTTTTATCGGGGGCTTTTGCCAGAGATGATTGGGAACATTCCCACCCGTACAGCGATGTATGCAGGAAAGGACTGGGCGAGCAAGTTCTTGGCAGGCCATGGCTATCCAACAACCTGTTTCCGCGAGCTGCTGGCGGGCATTTTTTTCTGGATTGCCGGAGGCCATTGTCACGACACCCTTCCAGGTCGTCAAGATTCGAATGCAGAACAAGGAGCTGGTGAAGCTGTATGCCAATGACTTGGACTGCTTATTGAAGGTTCTTTCACAAGAGGGGCCACTGGCTTTGTTCACTGGCTTGCAATCCACGGTGCTTCGGAATTCCATTTGGAATGGAGTGTACTTTGGATCGATTTGCCTGATTTCCCAAGCCTTAGGTCCTTCAGCTGATTCCGTCCTGGGACACCTCCAGTCCCTGGCTACCGGCTTGGGCGCCGGGCTCTTCGCCACATGTTTCAACGCACCTTTTTATGTGGCCAAGAGCCGCATACAACAATCCAGTGGGCCGACCAGGACGACTTCGCAGGTCTTGCTGCACATCGCCAAGGAGGAAGGCCCCCGATCTTTGTACAAAGGGTTTACACCAAAGGCATGGCGGATGGGAGTTGGAGGTGCAGTAAGCTTTGCCACCTTCGAGTTTGTGAGAGCATTTGGGCAACGATGAGTCTCATGAGACCAAATCGGTACATCTCTAGAAGCCATGCTGTTATCAAACACCGCTTGCTGGTTTGCCGAACCACCTTCCAGAAAGTTTCTCACGAGAAGCACTCGGTCCACTCGACAAACACCACATACCACCTATGTACATATGTATATATATATATACATATGTGTATATATATGATGTATGTATGCATGTATGTATGTATGTATGAATGTATGTATGTAATGTATGTAATGTATGTAATGTATGTAATGTATGTAATGCATGTAATGCATGTAATGCATGTAATGCATGTAATGCATGTAATGTATGTAATGTATGTAATGTATGTAATGTATGTAATGTATTAATGTATGTATGT